CCTTTCGGGTCTATGTGGTTGTTCCACCCAAGGTACAGCATTTATCAACTCTGAGACCCCAAATTACATTCAATCCTGGCCTGCAAGACCATTTTGTCTTAATATTGAAGTTTGTGCAAATTGTAGAAAATTCTAAAATTAATTAATTTGGAAGCTGGTTCTGTCCAGCAGTCTTACAAGCTAAGACAAAGTGGAATTTTGGGCCTATGCCATTGCTCCAATGAAGATTACTTTATTACAATCATCTGAAATGAAGGTTCCAGATATAGCCGACACCATTATTAATACCTTTGCAATGGTAGTCATCTCAAATGATTTGTTCCTCAGCAAACGAAATCATTCTTTTCAGCTTTTGTGGTAAAAATCCTTCCAGTTACTGAGGAAATAATGGTGCATTGTTGTAAGTGCTCTTCAGAGAACAGAACAGAAGGGAGAGCTTGGGTAACAAACACAAATGTCATTTGGCTCCTGTTAAATGCATGACTTGTTCATCATAATTGGTTATTCTTTTTGTTAGGAATTCACAACGATATTAAGTGCTTATCGCACATGGTGCCACTTCTTCCATAGTTCAGTTTTTCAAACTTCCTGGTCTCTCTGCTTACGTACTTTGTATTGTACGCGAGCTTTGTATGATGCTGGCGAGAATGGTGCCAGGCAGTGCCCAAGAATAACTCTTTCTGTGACCATTTAGCTCAGTTGGCAATACCTTACCCCAAGTGCAGCCAAAACCTTCGTGCATGCGTTTGTCACTTGCATGTGTTTGCCACCCGCATACTGACCCAAACCAAACTCTGTACCCACATCTCACCAGTTCTGGCCCAGGCTCCACTGGCTCCCCATCACCAAACGGATCGACTTCAAGATCCTCACTCTCTTGTTCAAATCCATTCACTCCCTGACACCTCACTGCCTTGCCGCCCTCCTCACTCCCCAATCCACCACCCGGCGCCCTCGCTCAACTGGCACTGGCCTCCTGCTCGGCCCTCGCACCCTCCACCTCACCATCGGAAGTCGTGCTTTCAGCCACTATCCCTAAAACTCTGGAACACTCTCCCTCAATCCCTCCTCCTTGCCCCCTCTTTCCCTTCTTTCAAGTTCTGCCTGATTTTTATGGTTCTCTCCCTGCCTGCAAAATGTGGAAATAGCAAAAGCTTACATTGCAATCTTTGTAAAGTGAGTTTCAAAAAAAAGAGGAATTAAGTTTCAATGAGATCACTGCAGTGTCCTTCAATATGTAAAGAAATGGCTTAAGTGCCCCTCTGTCATTAGAATAAAGTACATAACCTTGCATGGGCTGATGATCTTTTGCTCACATTTGCAAGACTAGTTGATTCTGATTCACTGAACTAATCAATAAGGGTGGCTTCTACTGAACGCACATCGAGTCTTTGAAAAAACGTAACAGTTCTTTACATACGAAGGAAGTGTTTAAGTACTTCTCCAGCTGGAGCTGCCTTGTTTTGGCTGACAGGGTTGAGGACATATCATAGGAACATAGGAACAGGAGTAGGCCATTCAGCCCTTTGAGCCTGTTCCACCATTTAATTAGATCATGGCTGATCTGTATGGTGAGGGGTGAACAACAATGTCTACCCCTCATCATACAGTCTCGTCAACCATAAACAAGTAAGCTTTGGCTTACTGTGTTTCCACTAAGCTAATTTAGCTCCAGGACGAATGTTAACTTTCTCTTATCTGCTGAACATTTGGTACATTTCATAGAAGGATACGTTTAGACATAGAACTTGTTTTATTGATCCTGAAAGGGTGAAGGATTTGGGGCACCCACTAAGGATCTCTCATTTCTAATAAAATTTTAGCCAGGACATAAACAACGACGACAACAAAATTACATTTGTAAAGCGCATTGCATGTCGGGAAGATGTCCCGAGGCGCTGAACAGTCAGGGATCAGGACCAAAGCGTGGGGTGGGGGGGCAGATTTGGAATGAGGGAGGCCAGAGAGGTAGGAGGGCGGCTGAAGGCACGGTTGAAAAGGAGGGTCTTGAGTTGTGCCTTGAAGGAAGCAAGGGAGGGAGCAAGGCAAAGGGATTGTGGGCTGGCATTCCAAAGGGTGGGGGCAGAGAGGCTGAAAGCCCAGCCGCCAATGGTAGGGTGGATGGGACGGCAGGTCCATCGACCAGCGGGCAATAAAGTCAAATTCAGCATGCAAATTGGAAGAGATGCTGCTGTGACCAAGAGGCATAAACCCAAGAGGTATTTTGAGGGACACAGGATAAGTTTGTATGACATATAAAAGGAGCGATCAAGCTTACTTTCATTAAATTAGTGTATACGCAAGATCGCAAGAGATTCAGATGAAAAGGGTGCTTCAACCCATTTGACCTCATCCTTCCTAAAATACCCACCTTCCCTCCTCCCGTTAAAGAGTCCAGATGATCCATTTGCTCGAGACACTTGGCTTTCTTTGGGCATGAACTGCAATTGCAAGCTCCTCATAATTCCAAATCAAAAGATATATAGATTGTTTGATTGAATCCTGTAAATGGTTTGGAAAAAACTTGACTTTAAAATGGATGCAGCGCTTCAAAAAGGCACTTTGTTCAGATATCAGTCAGAGTTTCCAAAGATGTCACAATTTGCCTTCTGTGGACTATTGTTCTGCATACTGTATGGTCACCGCGGTACGTTGGATAGAATAAAAGCTTTGTGGAGGGTAAAGGAACAGAACAGGGCTGGTAACTCCTGCGTTGACGTCTTCAGAGAGATTACAGATGGTGAGTCTGCATCTCCCAGTTATGTCAAAGGCCATCTTCCTTCAAACATTGTACTGTTCTCACTTGTACTTTGCCAAGTCTGTCTTCAAATTGTAATTTGCTGAATGTTTTTTTAAAATGACATTTGGAAAATATCTTCTCCTCACTCCATCCCACTGAAGGAGAAGGTATTTCCTTTTTGCTGTGTGTGGTGTAATTTATCTTTTCATGGATATTTGGGAGGGCTCTAATCTTCACTCAATTGTGTCAACTTGTAATTGAGGTATACTGGAGGGGAGAAACCTAGTTAGATTAGTGACATCTAGTGGGACTGGCAGAGTATTATGCACATCATTTATGTCTCACTGGGGACTGTATTATGTTGATAAATGAGTGAAGGTTTTTGAGGAGTCTGGCATCTTAGCTTTCTCCATGGGTGTATTCTATTTTCCTGCAGTACTGTTCACATGTACCCATTGCTGCTGGGCTTTAGATGAACAAATTAAAGGGGTATTGAGGAATGGCCTTATTTTGGAGTAATTCAAATATAGTGTTATGCTTGTTCAGTTTTGCATTGAAATAGGCTTTCCCACAGGAAATCACTGTGACTAACATTTCATCCACAAATATACAGTCAATTCACTTTACAGTATATTCTGTGATGTGCTTTGAGACGTCTAGAAGACGTGAAAAGCGCTATATCAAATGCAAGGATTATTATTATTCACCTTTAATTGAACACCTTCCTATTTAATACACATTTACTTCCTAGAACTTCTGCAGAAAATGCCTCAAATTATTCTTTAAGGATCTTTCCTTTTCAAACTGATCATTGTGTCAACTCCTGAGTGCAGAACTGGAGGGCATAGATTCCAATTGAAAAGGCTCAAGCAGATCTGGAAAACATATTTTGTTCTTTGCAGCGTACTGGGATTACGTTAAAAGATGCCCAATAAAAAGGCGAAAGATAAATGCCAGCCTGAGAATAGTATTGGACAGTATAAAGATCAATTGCAGACCACGATGAATGAATATTGTATGATATAGACAATATATATATCTGTGGGGTCCGTGCTTACATGAGATGTGATCTCCATGGAGTTGTGATATGCTGGTGCCTTTACCCTCCAGGCCATTTAAACAGCCTGTCAATAAAAGAATATGAATCCATTTTAAGGCCTTTAAATCTGAAAATTCCACAATTGTAGTGAGTGAACATGAATTGACAGATGACATTGCAGATTTACTATATAAAGCAGGTTCTATTTTGTACATTCATATGGGACATGTCGTAACTTTACATTTCCATGACCTCCGACAATGTTTATGATGCTCACTCATCAAGAAACCATATAAAATTCCCACTTTATTACGTGCCTTGTCACTCTAACCCTGACCTCTCATGTCATCTCAAAGCACAGCTTGTTTATGGCTTGTAGCTCAGTGGTTAGTTAGAGCACTCGCCTCGCAAGCGAGAGACCTGAGTTTGATTCCCGGCAGGGCAAAACCTTGGGCAAGTTTCCTTACTCCACACGCCTGATAATAATCCCTCAAGAAAACAAACAATAATAAATTGGTCACTTCAAAACCATGACTGTTTGTGGGACACTGCCGTGCAAATTGGCTGCCGAGTTTTGCCCACAAATATACATTCAGTTCACTTTACAGTATATTCTGTGATGAGCTTTGAGATGTCCAGATGTGAAAAGCGCTAAATCAAATGCAAGGATTATTATTATTATAATGGAGAAATTAAATGTTCAACTGATATCTATCTCCCTATTGTATTTTTTGGCATTATTTTGGAAGCAATTTATTCAACATTCTCATTTGCATCATAGGGCTATAGCTTTGTTCTTCCTTCCTTTGTGACTGCATCCAGATATTGTCCTGTGTGCAGTGGAGTGTAACCATTAAATACCTTACCAAGTGACCATTCTCCAGGCATGAGCCTTGCAGGGGGCTGTTCAGCAGCTCAGAAAATCACAGCCAAGCCCAATTCTGTCTACGCTTGACATCCAACGTGTGTACTTAGTATCAGGGGTCACTGAATAGCAAGTAGATGTGAAAAATCTGTCTGCTTTTCTTAATCTTCTTTCACCTTCAATTGAAGGCAGCCCAGAGGGATGGGCTGGAAGTATCTCTGGTAGCTGTGATGGACCCGTGATGAGTTTCGGAAATATTGAAGGCACTTTTCAGCTTTTATTCCACAAAAGATTAGTAAACTGGTTTATTAAACTTCAAGCTTCATTTAAAAAAAATCTTTTAATGTTGATAATAGGCTGCTTCAAGGATGATCGCATCGTCTTTTGGACTTGGATGTTTTCAACCTACTTCATGGAAAAATGGGCCCCACGGCAGGATGATATGTTATTCTATGTTCGTCGGAAGTTAACCTTCGTTGGTCCAGAGAGCAGTGATGGCAAGCAGGTGGGTAGCTTGATGCAGCAGATGAATGAACCATTCTCATTACTGAGTCCTTGTTTCATTAAAAAAAATGTAATCACTCAATCTATGACTATTTGTGGAGCACCTGATGTGCGTAATTGGATGCTCCATTTCACCCACAAAATACACAAGTCAATCTACTCCAGCGCCTTGGGAAGTCCTCCCAACTTGAAAAGCGCTATACAAATGTAATCTTGTTGTTTTTGTTGTACTTTACAATATATTCCGTGAAGCCCTTTGCGACATTGCAATGACATGACTAAGGTGCTGTATCAAATGCAAGGATTATTATCATTATTGTTATTTTGGAAGTTTCCATTCCCGGATGCCTTCTTTCTACTGTGGCTCATTGATCTGACATTTTAAGCAAATTCAAGGCTTCTCAGCCCATTGAATCTAACTGCTTCCAGAATCCAGGGACAATTTAGTCTTTCAGCACTTTGCTTCTATTTAAAGTAGTTAGTAAATTAATTAATGAAATTCCTCATTAGCCTGAATATTTTTGGGGGAGCTGCCAAAATAAACTCACTGGACCTGGTGTAGTAAGAGTGTCAGCCCAGACAAGGCTTCACAATTGGATTCCTCCATTTAATTCCAGCTTTCTGCTGGACTATGTTACAGAGTCAATGGAGCAGTTAGATGCAGCTCCACTAGAGGTAGGAATTTCAGGCCCCCACCATTCACTGAGTTGTATTTTCACTCATTCTGGCCTAATGAAGCACTGTTTAAAAATAACTGCCTCCTTGTTTGTGGGGCGGAAGGAAAGAGAAAAATATTGGACTAAAGAGATGAAAATGGATGTGATTCCTGCCAATTGTTTTAAAGTGATATTGATGTAGATTTCAGATCAGTTCATGCACCTGTTCTCTTAACTGCAGCTATTAGAAAGCCTGACAACTGGGGAGGAAATTCTTAAAAATCAATTCATGTGGTATCCTGGATAAAATTACTTTTACATGTTTTTATAGTGGTAGAAAATGCTCAAATTGAAATTATTTTATAAATTGAAATGAAGAAAATCCCTGCACTTCAAAATCTTGACATTACTTACGATGTAATAAGGCACTATATCAAATGCAAGGATTATCTTCATTATATTTATTATTCAAGTATTGGTCTATAAGGTTTAGTTCAGAACACTCTCTGGGCACACAAGCTTGTAGTAGTTACCCCCTTCTTGTGCCACATGTCAGAGCAAACTGCCTGAGGGACAATTTCAGAATTGTATTTCATGTTCTTTCTGTGTGGAGATTTTCTAAGACTGCAGTTAAAAGATAACCACTTATTGGATATTGCAAATCAATTCATAATCAATCACAAGGAAGGCATTTCTACAGCTATGTACCTTTCAGACATAAGGTAAGATGTCTCTCGAGACAGTGTGTAAGATTGTTCATCTGTTCCCTTCAATTTTACCCTTTCTCTTTTTATATGTTCCTATGTATCTCAGAAAATTCCTGTTCAGTATTCTCTTCTCAACCAACCTGTCTGGCAATTCCTGATATAGATCTGACCCATTGTCTCTTTTTTTTATCTTTTCGCCTGATTCCATCTCTAAGTTACTTTACTAACTGCACCAACCTAGAACTGAGAGGTTATACTTATCAGGAAATGCTGAACATGCTTGGACTCTTTTCTCTTGAAAAGAGGAGGGTAAGGGGTGACCTGATAGAGGTCTTTAAAATTATGAAAAGTTTTGATAGGGTAGATGTAGGGAAGATGTTTCCACTTGTGGGAGAGACCAAAACCAGCGGCCATCAATATAAAATAGTCACGAGTAGATCAAATAGGGAAGTTAGAAGGAAATTTCTTCACACGGAGAGTAGTGGGAATGTGGAACATGCTACCACAAGGAGTTGTTGAGGCAAATAGCATAGATGTATTTAAGAGAAAGCTAGATAGGTACATGAGGGAGGAAAGGAATAAAAGGTTATGCTTGAAGGCTTAGTTGAGGAAGGGCAGGAGGAGGCTCATGTGGAGCATAAGCCATTTGGGCCGAATGGCCTGTTTCTGTGCTGTATATTCTAATGTATTCTAATGTATATCTACTTTTCCACTTCTTTCTATTGATTCCAAGTCAACAGACACCATCTAAATACACAACACTGTGTTCTGGTGTGAGTTCTCTGCCAAGTATCCCAGATCTTGGTGCAACAAGAGACTGCGCCCACCACTATCGTGACCTTTCCCTATGGCGGCACAACAGTGCTTTCGAGGAGCGAGATATGGAAGGGTCCCTTTCTGTAATTGTACTGTCGAGCACTGCTGCCCATTTAAGAAACAACATTGTCACGCTATAGAAAACCCCACATTGTCCCAAAGTGTAGTGAGTGCTTAAGGCAAAGAAACTCTCTTTGCAAAGACCGTTACTGTATTTTTTGGTAGTGAACTTGGGTCCTTTTACTGTTATAGATTTAATTAGTAACATGTTTAATTTGAATAATTTTGCTTTAGACAGAGAGCATGTGAAGTTCAATGACTATATTTTATAGGCAAATACGGCAGCCAACATGCACACAGTGATGTCTTACAAACAACCATGAAGTGAATGACCAATTTTATCTGGAGGTTAGTTGGCCAGGACAGTATGCTAATGACATTCAAATACTGAATGAAAACACAGTAGCAAACAGCTTTTGTGTTTGTCTAACCAGCCAGTCTGTGCCAGAAAGGTAATGTTTGCCTCCAGCTTGTCTCTTCGGCTTTAATACCAGTGTAGATGACCTAATTACACGAAGGACAAATTGTCAGAACAGTTTCTATGCGACTGGTCTTGTTAATTAATTGAATTAACATGTTTGTTTTTGCTTAAGTTTGCAGTACTCTCCTGCCTTTGCTGACCTTGAAATACTGATGGGTATGGTACACTTAGTTGTACAATAGTGAAAGCTTGTGGCTTCCTTTCACTATCCTGCACCATCCTCGCCCCCAAAAAATCATCCATTGAGTATAGCCTGTTCTTTTCTTTTCACTTTTTAATATACATATATGTTTAATAATATATATAAAATAGAAAAATATATATATATTTAAAATATACAGAATATACAAAATATATTTTTGTAATAATTCCATAAAAAATAATAGTAATAATTTGGTCACTCAATCACGACTGTTTGTGGGACACTGCTGTGCGCAACTGGTTGCAGTGTTTTGCCCACAAAATATATCGTCAATTCACTTTACAGTATATTCTGTGAAATGCTTTGAGACATCTCAAAGACGTGATAAGGCGCTATATGAATTGCAAGGATTATTATTATTATTAAGTGAGATTTTCTCATTTAGGAGTGAAAGGATTTTTGTAGGATTTAGGGCTCCACTCACAGCACTGGCCCATGTTACACTGTATATGGTATAAGTTGGAGTGGTTTAACTTAGCTCCTGTGTGTACAGGAGAGATATTCACACACATGAAGAAGAGCCATGGGGCGAGGACCAAGAATATTGCTGATGCACATGGTGCCATGACGCAGCACAAGTCGAAGCCTACATGAGAGTAGAACATTAGAAGGAAAGACTTCTCAGGTGGCTGCAGAAACTATGACTTTCCTGATTCAGTCGCCCCCAACCCAGTATGTTGGTGTCTCAGCTGCTAAATCAGAATTTTTACAAATCTCTGAGCAGGCAGAGGAATAATAACCAGATCCAATATATCTCACTGCTATGTGTCATTGGAAGAGCTCCAACCACATAAATATTGGTTTACATTGTCCTGAAGAGTGGGCACGTTACCAGCCAGCATACTCTCTTGGTCAGACTGTGTTTGCTTTCATCTTTCAATTTCTCAAAGACCAGCAATGTTCTTTTTGTCAGTGGCATTACAATTGTCAGATCATTTTTACTGACTTGATACAGCATTGCAATTCCAGTCCCAATCTTTGAAACTCTTTTACCCTAACCCTCCATCCCCCTTCCCCTAAACACCAATTTGCTTCAATCTGTTTCAGATACCAAATCCCCTGATGTCTCAAGCAGCTAGGTGGTTTCCATTAATAAAAACCCACAGCACAATTCAAATTTCTCGGTTCAGATGAGTTTGCTTCCACTTCATATGCCTTATCGATGAGGCAGTCTGAGCATTTGACTCCCAGCCAGCAATCTCAGGGAGTCTGCCAACCCTCTGAACACACCAGCCAGGGATGAGCTAAAGGATGCAAGTCTGAAGCTGGCTGCAAAACAGCATGAGTTTGCCCTTGTGAAAAAAAGGCAAGGTCATTTCCGATATCCCTCATTTAAATGGCGTCTCCTGCCAATTATGAAAAGTGGTCTGGGGACTGGACTGTATACCAGTTAGACTGGAGGTTGATGTGATGATTTTGCAATGCGTTAATAATAGCTCTTAGGACTTCAATATGAAGATACTCTGTTTTTCATTTGGTAACTCACCATTTTCTTCCTCTGTGAGATCACATTGTCCTTGTGGGAAGAGCCTTCAATTGTGAGTGAATAATTTATTAAATAGATCACTCAAATTGGCATTGTCCTGAATGAAAATGCTTGTTTAAAGTTCATTGAGTGCACAGAATACCTATGCCGTGTATTGGCCAACGCTACTTTGATTGCATCAGTGAAAATTGTGGAGTGCAATTTATATATAGTGTATTATTAATAATAGATAATAATAATCCTTACATTTTGTTTTGTGCCTTTTATGTCAGGAGGATGTGCCAAAGCATTTCACAGGTTATTATTGCAAGGGCATTTTAGGTAAATGAGCAATCAGTCTGTACATAGCACTGTCCCACAAGCCACCATGAAGTGATGACTAATTTTATGTGGGGAATTGTTGCCTAGTACACTGGGAGAAACTCGCTACTCTTTTCAAATAGTATCCTGGCATCTTTAACATCCACTTGAACAAGCAAACAGGATCTCAGTTTAAGGTCTCATCCAAAGGAAGACACCTCGAACACTGCAGGACTGCCCCTGAACAGCACAGGAGTGTCAGTCTAAATGGTGAGCCCAAAGTCCTAATTGGGGCTTGACTTCATAGAGGCCACCAACTGAGCCAGGCTGATACCATAGTATCAATATAGACCAGAGCAGAGAAATTGCCAACTGGATCTGAGAATAACTCAAAAAGTCAGCAGTAGAATTGGTGTGCATGAGGGAGTCAGTTTGGATAGTTTATATATAGAATAATAGGGGACTAAATGAATTTCAAGCTGGAATCTAATTGAGCCATTTGGATTGATTGGAAAATGTAATTCAGATTTCCTGTCTGTAACGAGTTATTTTCCGTTCAAATTGTAGGTTTCGTCTGCAATTGCGTCTACATAAAAATAACTAGAATAATAGAACTCCCAGCTGCCAGTATTGAAATTATGTACTGTTTTTAAGGTAACCCTTATCATGGACACGGTTTGTTATTAGCTAAAATGGATTTACGTGGCGCCATACACTAAATGACAACACAGGGCCACATGTGATTATTAGGGGTATAATATGATTAAACACACAACTTTCAGAATTAAAGTGTTCATTTTTAAATGAATGACAGGAGAACAGAATGAAAATTGTGTTTAGTGAACTATCAACATTTACTTTATAAGCTGAACAAAAATGATCCTTTTACAGGGATGTAACCTAAAGAACCAGATTTATGGGAGAGCCTTTTCTAATGGTGCTGAACAGCCTCGGTTTAACAGTCATTTTAGAATAGCCAAATAAGATTTTTCCTGTCCATGACAATGCAGGTCAGTTGATGTAGCTGAAAATAAATACTAATCTTACAGTACTTGCATTTGATATAGCACCAGTTGTCAAAAAACCCCAAACACTTCATACATTGAGTTACTTTACGTTGACACAAGCAATACCCCACTTAAAACAATGAGATGAATTACATTTAAGTAGCATTTCATTGAAAGAACTGGCAATTCGTGCAGTGTTAATATGTAAAGCTTGTTTTTGTCTCTTGCTCTTTTGTTTCATCACCAGGTTGAAGTTGAAGTTTATCGCAGAGATTCCAAGAAATTGCCTGGGCTTGGTGACCCTGACATTGACTGGGAGGAGAGTGTTTACCTCAATCTAGTTTTGCAGAAGGTACAGTGAATCAGGGCTGTCACTCACTAAATAATCCTGATGGCGACCGATCTCCAGAGTTCAGTACTTGAGATGTGCTATAAACAAATGTGAGAAGACTTACATATATCTTTGGGGAATGATAAATTAATCTGATTGACCCTCTCCTTCCTCCAACAAACACCAAGCTTTCTGTCATTTTACCGCCACCACATGAAACATCTCACCTTCTTTCCTGTCCTTATACTTTCACCTGTCAACTCGGGTTCTCAATTTCAAGCCGTCTGAAATAGATTTCTAAAGGGAATCAACTTAAAAATTGTAAATTATGAAATGAACAGGCAATATCAAAGAATCTTGTTCTGCCGTCCCTGGAAGTATTTTGAATAAATTTTTGATGTGTCATTGAGCTGTACCGACCAGATCAGGAAGGTCAGTCCTTGGATCACCTGCTTTCTATGCTGATCTCAGTGGAGACACTGCAATTGACATTAATGCCTTGAACAATAAGACAACATGTTGGTACCTTCATGAATGAGAGGGTGAGACAGAGAGATAGAGGGAGGGAGTGGCACGGTGGCTGAAAGTCTGGTTGCTACTAGTGGAGCAAAGGAAGCGGAGGGCACATAGTTGAGCAGAGGGGATGAGCAGAAGTGTAACGTAGGAGAAGATCCCAGAGGGTGTGATGGTGTTGAGGTGAGGATGAAGATCTTGAAGGATTGCTAGGAGACAGCTTCAGCAGAAATGCACACACAGATGATACCTTGTGTAGGCAACTGGGTCTAGGTGAGTCTGTGATCATACTCCAGACTGGGATGCCGGACTGGGCCGTTCGACTTTGTAGGATTTCTCAGGGCACTACTGTACACTTTTCTGGAGAAGTTTCCAGTAAATGTTAGAGACTGAAATAGGCTGATATGGAGAGCCCTCTGGTGGCAAGACAAGACTTGTACCGAGTGTGAATGTCCTCAATTCTGTTCACTAAACACTTCCTTATTTGTGTTTTCATGCATAAACCAGGCAATTTCTCTTCAGTAATATCAACCCTGTCCATATAAAGTTCTGTTTTGTAGAAGAGCATAAGGTCTTTTGAGATGGGGGGTAGGGGGGTGTTCTATATGGGTGCAGTTTCAAGGTTGTTTCTTCACCTGATACCTACACATAAATCAGTGTCCTGTTATGTTTTGTCAGACGATCTCCCCTGGTGCCTGTTTACTTTTTTGCGCACACATACAGACAGCATCAGTAACTTAAATGACTTATTTCCACCTCCGTCACCCCATGAATCTGTTTGTCAATTCCCTTTCATGATAAAAGGGTCTTTAGATAGATAGGAACGCTTGACTCTTTTCCCCTAATTCCCCACCCCCACCCGTCCCCCGGCCCCACACACACACAGCTGGAGAACTGGCTTTTCACAAAACTTCCTGCTAAAGATCTGTCAAGTGATCCAACACCTTAAATTTCTATCTTTGGTCTCTTACCATTCTGGTGAGCAGAGCCCCAGATGTTACTCTGTTTCACAGCCTGACTGCTCCCTGTCTCTCTGCAGCTGGAGTATGTGGTGACCTGTGCTGTGTGCACACGTTCTGAACAAGGGGATATTCACATTCACAGAAAGAAATCCCAGGTAAGTGACTGTGAACATAAGAATACAAGAAATGCTAGACGAAAAAAGACCAAGGTCCATCTAGTTCGCCTTCCACCTTCCTGGTGGTCGCGTTGTCCTGAACTACCTATGTACAATATTCGATAATGTTATTTCCTAAAAGAAAATGATCTAATCTGTATTTGAAAGAATCAACACTTCCTGCTTCAACCGTCTCCCCAGGGAGCCTGTTCCACAGGTTCACTATTCGCTCACTGAAATTGTGTTTGGTAGATTTGTTCTGAATTTACCCAGTAGTCATAGTCCAGTCCTTCCATTCCCTCAATCATTTTGGTTGCCCTCCTCTGTATCTTCTCGATTCCTCCAATATCCTTTTTGTACTGTGGGGACCAGAACTGTACACAGTACTCTAAATATGGTCTCACAAATGATTTATACCACGGCAGGTTGCCCCACTATTTTGGCTTCCTATTGATCTTTTGATACATTTCAACATCTGGTTTGCTTTACTCACTGTCACAGAGCATTGTTGGGAGAGCTTAAATTTATTCTCAATGAGGACCCCCAGGTCCTTTTCATTTTTCACTGTGCTCCATGGAGCACACGGGGTCAGGGCATGCAGAGCTGTACCGAGACTTCTTGTACCTGCCCCTGAGCAGCAGTGCGGGGCCTGGGGTGACACAGCAGGACAGCTGTGCAGGGCCAATTCCTCTCCCAATGGAAACCGATCCTCTTTCTTTTCCTCCTCCTGCTCTATATTTGCAGCAAGTTTTTGCGTCTCCAAGCAAGAACCCGATGGACAGTAAAGGAGAGGAATCGAAAATCAGCTACCCCAACATCTTCTTCATGATTGACAGCTTTGAAGAGGTAATTTTTTTTGTAAATTTGCCAAGTGGTTTCCTTTCTGTCCAAACTCTGAGGAATTCCTGTGTGGGAGCTGCAGTTTTCTCCTCTGTGTCCATCTCGTAACCCATGGCTTGAGCTCCACCATGGTGCAGGTGTTTCAATGGAATATCTCCCCACCCGACATCATTATGTCCCATGGAGTGATATTTCCATCCCGTTCCATCAACGAACCATCATGGCTTTGTTGGGAGTGAGTGGCATCCATCCACCAGTCAGGGGTAGTGATGGGACGTCTGCTCCAGTCTTACCCTCCTTTGTTGTTTAAGACACAATTATGAGATAAGCAACTGTTTACGATTCTGTACTCAGGGTTATCTTTTCTGAAGGAAAGTATACGATTCCACATCTGTTAAAAATGACAGAATAATTCTGTACATGGACCGCTGCAGCTGTATCGGCAGCTCCATTTCCACTGGGGGATTGATGCCCAAAATGGGCACACAAACAGCCTCTCGATAGTTGTTCCCAGAACACCAATGCCCAGCTCTGTTGTATTGAGGATCCTCTGTATGTAATGGAGCTGATTGTCTTGGGCTACCTTGTTACAACAACAACAACAACAAAGTTACATTTGTATAGCACCTTTCACGTCGGGAGGACTTCCCAAGGTGCGGGACAGTCAGTTTTTTGGACCTGAGCTGGGCGGTCGGGGAGGGTGGAGGGCAGTGAGCGAAGAAGAGGGTCTTGAGATGGGGCATGAAGGAGGCAAGGGAGAGGGCGAGGCGGAGGGACTGCGGAATGGAGTTCCAGTGGGTAAGGGCAGAGTGGCAGAAGGCCCGCCGACCAATGGTGGGGAAGGCGAGGCAGGGGACGTAAAGCAGGCTGAGTCCACTGAGCTGAGGGAGCGGGCAGGTTGGTAAGGGGTTAGGAGGTCGCAGAGTGTGCATCCATGGATGGTGATGCTGTCAGAGCCTGAGGTGTGGAGGCGCTGACGGGAGCTAATCAGGAGGGCCTCGGTCTTGTTGAAGTTCAACTGAAGACAGTTAGCTCTCATCCAGGACATGATGTCCGACAAGTGTTACTCTTGTATTGTGGACAAGCCTGTCCTTTTGTAGCTGATCCTGACTTTTGTGATGCCAGGTTTTTAGTGATATGTCCGTGGGGGAGGGAGAAATGGTCTGCGTCGAGCTGGTCGCCAGCGATAAAAACAACATGTTTCAGGGCGTGATCTTCCAGGGATCCATTCGTTATGAAGCACTGAAAAAGGTGTACGATAACAGGGTGAGTGGCCAATTTTTTTTTACAAGGGGACAATTAATGTAGTAGTAATAGAATTGATCAACCTGGGATAGAAAATGTAATTGTGTATTAATTCGGGGAGATTTTTCTTTGCTTTGTTTTTCTATTCATCTCACTTTCTCAGTTTTATAACTGCTGGAGTCTAACCATGGGTCCTATAACATGTTGGTTAAAGCGCTCATCTCACAAGAGAGAGGACCCTGGTTCGATTTCCAGACAGGCCGAAACCTTAGGCAAGTTTCCTTGCTCCACAATCCTCTGTTTACCTAGAAGTAAGTAGAAACCCGGTTGTTTGTCGATTGCGGATCGGTTTCTTGGGGTATAATCCCTTCCCCTCCCCCCAAACAAAATATTGTCTGGTCACTCAGTCCACATCTGTTTGTAGGACACTGCCGTGTGCAATTGGCTGCTGTGTTTTGCCCACAAAATACACAGTCACTACACTTTACAATATATTCTGTGAAGCGCTTTGAGACGTCTAGAAGACGTGATAAGGTGCTACATCAAATGCAAGGATTATTATTACTTTGCATTTATTCATATTAAACTTCATCAGCCCATGTGCATACCCCATAACGTTCTTTGTAAGACCTTTGCTGCCTCGTCTGACTCCACAGCAACACCCCCACACCCGCCCCACCCAACTTGGCATTCATCTGCAAATTTAACAAGCTCTCATTGCATCTGCAAATTCTGATAATTTACATACAATGAGGAACCTCACACTTTGTATACTGGATCTTCCCACTGGTCAGGAAGGGCTTTCCCACATTCTTCACCCTGACTCGTGATTGCGGTAAGAAATGCACACTACTTAGAAAAACTGCCTCTGTATGGTGCTTTGTTTTAAATCACAATAAAAATAAAGGTCCTTTTACTTCCTCATGCACAGTTTGAGAGGTTATTGTGTTATACAACCCCTCTCAAGCACTAACATACCTTGTGAGTGAAGGTTCTAGTGATTGCTATTTGATTCATTGGAACTTGTACAGTTATTGTGATATTGTGTGAGTTTATACGGAAAAGGATACTGTGCAATCGCCCAAAAATTATACAGTCAATTCTCTTACAGTATATTCTGTGAAGTACTTTGAGACGTCTCGAAGATAATAATAATAATAATAATAATAATCCTTGCATTTGATATAGCGCTTTTCACGTCGGGAGGACATCCCAAAGCGCTTCACAGAACACACTGTAAAGTGAATTGACTGTATATTTGTGGGTGAACGCGGCAGCCAATTGCGCACAGCAATGTCCCACAAACAGTCGTGGATTGAAAATGACCAATTTATTATTGTTTTTGGTTTTTGGAGGGATTATTATTAGGCTCTGTGTGGAGTAAGGAAACTTGCCCAAGATGTGATAAGGGGCTATATGAAATGCAAGGATTATATTTTATTATTATGACTGATGTTCAAACTGCCTCTTGGAGTGCCTGAGGTGATTTCAGGTGAAATTGTTTGTGGTTCTTTCTTTGCCTCAGGTAAGTGTTGCTGCTAAGATGGCCCAGAAGATGTCATTTGGGTTCTACAAGTATAACAACATGGAGTTTGTTCGGATGAAAGGTCCCCAGGGTAAGGGGCATGCTGAGATGGCTGTGAGTCGGGTTGCCACAGGTGATACGTCTCCCTACGGGACGGAGGAAGGTTCTGAGCCAGGATCACCTCTGCATGATCAAGTAAGTGCAGTAGACGGTTGCCTCCTGTCCCACATCCATTTTTAGTTTGTGTGAACGATTATTCCTGCATTTAAACCTTTGTCGATTCCTCTAATGACTTTTATGCATTGCTGTTGTTAGTGTGTCAGAGCTGTTAGTGTGCCTGCATACTGGGGTGAAAACGTTCAGACTTTTCTATCAATTGAAACCACACTGAATTTCGACAACTTCTGCAACATTACAAATTTATACTGTTAGAATGTTCCGACTGTGTTGTGTGCTGCATTAAAAATGACATATTCTCAAAATTGTCGCTCATAAAAGTGTGAAAACTGCTTCTTCCCCACCTAATTTGCTATTCCGAGGACTTTGGGTGGGAAAAAAAACTTTCCAAGGTTCACCTGTGAAGTCTTCAACGCCAAACAATCTAAGGCATGTTCCGTTGTTGGAGTTATCCAGATTATAACCTCACATTTCTTCACCCCCAGGGGGATGCTTCTCCTTCCTGCAGTGCGTTCTGGGTAGGTTGGCATGGTGGGTGCGGTGGGGGTCTGTGTTGTCGGTTGTGCTATATACTTTCCCATATATCATTCTTGCTGATCCACATGTTTAGTTTTATATTTCCCATTTGTGGTGTAGTTGACTTTATTTTCACAGTGAGTCAAAGCATGCAGACTTGTCACTAGAGCAGAGTGTTGCATGCGTAGAAGTGTGAGTGTGGTGGATGTTTCCATGATACTTTCTGTGAGGTCCAGTGTGCTGGTCACACATGTAACAACAATTTACATGTAAATAGTGTATTCCACGTAGGGAAAAACCATCAAAGTCCTTTACAAAAAGGAAGTGGGAGTTAAGCCACTCCACCCCAAGACTCTGGAACTCTCCGTCACAAACCCTCCGCCTTGCCCCTTCCTTGTTCATCCTTTGATCATACCTAAAGACATTTCTCTTCGATGCCTACAGTCACCGGCCCTCTCTCCCAGGCTTGGCGTCAAGCTCTGCCAACGTTGAGTGCTCCAAGATGCTATCCCGCGAGAAAGAAGCAATAAAAATGCAAGTTGTTGGTGGTGTTGTTCCTTGGAGGGAGATGGGAGAGGTCGGGGAAAGTGGCTGAAACTGTCGTCCAAGAAATGGCTCTTTGAACAAATTTTAAAGGAGGGAGAGCAGAGGGGACGAGGTGGAGAGATTTTGGAAGAACGTGGGAGCAAAGAAACTGAAAGCTCACCACTGACGTGGGGGCGCGATGGGTGGAGGCACAAAGCAGGTCGGAGTTGGCTTTTTAGTTAACTATTGTGCACAGTTTGGTCCACAAAATACACAGTCAACTTTACTTAACAGTATATCCTGTGAAGAGCTTTGAGATGTCTCAGTGACGGGATATGAAACTCAAGGATTACTATTATTTCAATTGTGTGCATGGGATACTTGCCACAGCAATCATTTGCCATGTGTTAACATTGCTTCCTCTCCTTCCGCCACTGCCCCCATATGAAGTAGCTACTGCTCCAATTCACTCTGATATGGTTGGTAGCTGACTACCACCTGCCAGTTTGGATCATCGCAGTTCCCATCTAATGGGTGAAAAATGGTGACCGGGTTGTGCTGCATAGGCCTTCCCCAGGGATTGAGGAAGAAAATTAAAATTAAGGACTACAATTTGCAAACAACTGAGTCTGTGAATGCCTATTTCTGGGCTCTAATAATACACTCAGACACTCGGCTGATCCCCGGTGACAGGATTCCATGTGTGTGTGACTGGTCTGCCCTTCCAGGTCCTGCCGATGAGCCAGGCTGGGCTGTGCTGTCATCAACAGGGCCCTGAGTACTGTGGATCCGCCTGGCTCAGGAACCAGACTAGAGATATTACAGAGGGCTGGCTCGATTCCCATATTACTCTCTGATAGTGAGGTGTAATATTTTTGTTATTTATTTGTTTTTCACCCACAAAACACACAGTCACTATACTTTACAGTGAATCCTGTGAAGTGCTTTGAGGCAACTCAATGACATGATAAGGCGCTATATCAAATGCAAGGATGATGATTATTATTCATAAGATTTGGGGGAGCCTAGAGTGTGCATTGGTGTAATTGCTGGAGTCTAACCATAGCTTAGTGGTTAGAGCACTAGCCTCACAAGTAAGAGGACCTGGGTTTGATTCCTGGGCGTGACGAAACCTTATGCAAGTTTCCTTTCTTCACATACACCCCTCTGTTTACCGAGCAGTATGTAGGAACCCGCTTATTGGTCGATTGGCAGATCGCTTACCAGGGCTAATAATCCCTCCAAAATAATAATCATAATAATTGGGTCACTCAATCCACGACCATTTGTGGGACCCTGCTGTGCCCAATTGCCTTCCGCATTTCGCCCTCAAAACACACAGTCACTACTCTTTACAGTATATACTGTGAAGCGTTATGAGACATCTCAACGACATGATAGGCACTATATCAAATGCAAGGATTATTATTATTAATAAGTGGGTTTGTTGCATTAATAGCAACATTAGATTTGCGAATATCAGAAGCCATTTAACTTGTAATTCTCAAAAAGCCTAATTGCAATTCCTAAAAGCCAGCAAAAGTGGGTGTGGGGGGGAGGAGAATAGACCAGCAAGTAATTAGCACAGCAATTTGCTTTGTGAATACTGCAAATTAGATTTTGCCCCAAATTCTGCTCCCCTCACCGCCAGTATTGCCACTGATGCTGTGGTACAGGTTTTGGACCATGATTCAGAAACAATATACCAAGGAGGTACCCAGGAAATGTTTAAAAACGTGTAGTGATTGTGCATCTCTGACTGACTGCCTTTCTGCTGCTTCCTGGGCTTCTCTGCTTCAAAAAGTGAACTGTTAAAGGTCATTGTTTGAGCTGCAGGGCTGAAGCTGTGTACTGCATTGTAATGAAGGTCTGCCTGATGAGAGCTTTGATGAAGACTACAGCATTCTGGAGCTGAGCAGCGAGATCTGACGTACGGCTCACTGCAGTGGATTGAATTGTTAGCTTGGCTAGTTTGCTGGTAGGAGGCACAGGCAGTTGGTGCAAAGGTCAGAATGGCTCTGGGGAGTTACCCCCCTGCCCTCCCCTCTTTGCTTTTGATTCTTTCAGAGCTCATTATGTGGTGAACGTACTGCCAGTCTGAGAGAACAAGATTTTTATTTCCATACTCAGACCTATCCTGAACCAAACCTGTCGAAAACAGAGACATGCAAACAAGAGGTGCCCTTTGTTCAAAGGGACATTTTAATGTTGGGTGGTGGGGTGTGGGGGGTGTTCTAAGAGGATTTTTTTCCTTTCTGTTTAAGTTGTACTGTTCCTGTTTTATTGAGTGGGTCCAAAGCAGCGTCTATCTCTTGGTGATTATGCTGCCGTACAAATGCGACAGAGAGGTTTTGTATATCAGAAAGCAGTGTTAGAGGAGTGAGCGAGATTATCTTCCCTCCTTTGCCCCCTTCATTCTTCTGTCCAAACGGGATGGTACAACAAATACCTCTGCCTACCAGTTAATTTAATACAGAGGTGAGCACTGAAAGTTGAAGCAAAGACTAGCTGTGTGATCATCAATCAGTCATGGGAATGGCTCTGAAAACCCTGTACTCCTTGGCTCATTCTGTGTCATTGAGTGAATCATTGCTCATGGGCTTCCCTGTTTGCACCTGGATGCCTATGTTGTCACACACAGGGTGAAACTGGCAGTGTTTCATAACACAACAATGGACAGATTACAGAACTCCTCAAATTTCACTTCATGGTGCCAGGATTGAATGCTTCCAAATTGAGAATGGTGTACATTAGGAAGCATGCATATTACGTTAATACAAAGTTTCTCAGCCTAGACTAGCTTTTATGCGTTTCTATTCTGATTGCAAACAAGCCATGGCCTCTGCTGCCCAACAGTACATTTCTGCCCCCCATTGCCATTTATTTGTACAGTTTTTCTAAGAAGGTGTTGCTTGGTCACATTACATTATATCATGGGCTGTCTTGTGTCTATTAAAAGCTCAATATATCTCCTCATTTCAGTCCTCCCAACGTGAAAGGCGCTTTACAAATGTAATTTTGTTGTTGTTATTTTACATTGTTTGTGCTGACTGGCTTCAAAATCCTGACTGGATTTGAAGCCTCCATCACATTGCAATTTTGCATTCTGGGATGATCAACGTGTTTGCTTCAATTTGCAGGTGACTTCCTTCAGCACACCACCCACTCCTGAACGGAACAACCGACCATCTTTTTTCTCGCCATCCTTGCGCAGGAAGACACCAAAGAATCGGATGGCAGAAATGAAGAAGTCTCATTCGGCTAACGACAGTGAAGAGTTCTTCAGGCATGGCTCAGACAATGGGGATGAGGAAGGTGAGGCCATCACTTGCCTTGTGTGCATTGTGGTGATGGACAAAGACTTGGTGGTGACTAAGGCAGCATGAAGGTTGGAAAGTGTGAGAAAACGAAATAAGCTTGGGTTTTAAAACAACCAAATATAAAAGGAGGGAAGGGAATCTTGGGTATACCAATTGTTTGAGGTCTTGTACTGGCTGGTGTTTTTTGTTGAGCGATTCTCTTGCAGCAAATCAATGTTCTGTTTGCATTGAGACATCATCAGTTGTAGTTGAGGGGTATGTGTCCACACAGGGAATTCTCGATTTCAGGCAGCAAATATGAGGAATGAATTGCACATCTTGAGGTTCAAGTGACTTCAAACCTGCAGTCAATGGATGAAATAAGTAATGCCAGTTGGTTATACCCTATCGTAATCATGCTTTAAACTCGCTGCAATGTTTATTGCTGATCCACCTTTTCTTGCCATTGTCATTTCAAATTGCCATGTGTTTCTTTCTTCATTTGGTAAATGCCAGGAGCCTGTGTCTCAGAATGCTTGTTGGTTTCCTTTTGAAAATGTACTGGAGGCTCTTGCAATCCATCATTTGCATTTTTCAGTCACTTGAAATAAATGAAAATTAAATAAATTGGTTCCCAAAGAACAAAAATTGGGACAAAATGTTGCGCACTTGGAAAGTTGTAACATGTTGAGGTTGTACTCCTGATCCTGACCTGTTCGGTGTCTCTCTCTTCAGACATGCATGGTGTGTCTAACCTGCGATCTCGCTCCTTATCCGGCACTGGGAGGTCCCTGGTAGGATCCTGGCTGAAGCTGAACCGGACTGAAGAAAATTTTCTACTCTATGCACACCTCACCTACGTCACATTACCACTACATCGCATAACAACAGGTAAAGGTGCCAGTGTTTCACTGCTGTCAGCCAGCTCTGCCATTGTGAGAGAACGTCCCAGGTTTAATCATCAACATGTGCTGAGTTGGGACAGTGGTTAAGGTGCAATTCATTAGGATTCCCACTTTGATGTTAATCAGGGACAAGGAATGAAAAATTGGGATTCTTTCCTCAGGCATTGAATGCACATAAGCACAAAGTCATTGAAACCAACTGTTGCTATTTCATACTGTTATAAAGACAGGTTCTTGTTCCAGCTTAATATCTGTCATTTGTCAACCAGTTTGACCTAATTTGCAATCTCCATTTGTAAGTAGCATAGATACCCGATAGTTGGTTTGATTCCTTAATTGTTTGCTGAGTAAAGTTTAATTATTCAATGGAAATTAGTGTCTGGCCACAGAGGGTTTGAAGATTGTGACTTGGAAGCTCTTCCAGAAATTGTGCCTTGCTCACAATGTCACTACATGGTGCAGCTGCCTTTCCAGGACAGGATCTGAAGTCACAGTGAAGCAGTCTTAATTCAGCCACCTGAACCCAAAGAAATGTGACTGGGAATGCAACATTAACAGGATTGGTTGTCCCCAAAAATATAAATTTTATCATTAAAAATACAGTATAATTATTGTGTTGTTGAGCAACTTAATCTATTTGTTTAAGATGTCACTGGGAGAGAGAAACTACTAAGCCTACCAGTGTGAGGAGCTGAATTTCCTCCTTTGGTTAAATATACAATCTGGAAATTGTTCAAGCTGCTTCACAGTGTGCTTTCAGGTTCAGTAATGGTTTGTTGTTTGATGCCATTAGTCTATTTAGGGTTTGCTGAATTGTTCAGTGAGTAAATAATAATACAAATCCTTGCATTTAATATTGCAAATTTCACGTTATCAAAGTCTCAAATTGCTTCACAGGATTTACTTTCAAGTATAGTGACTTTTTTAGACAAATGCACCATTTGTTTGGTACTGAGTCCCCATAGACCAGGTTTTATTGCTACTTTGTGCTAATCCCTGGTTTGGGGGTGGGGGTACTACAACTAGCTTCAGTATCTTGGAACTTGGGAGGGGGTAGTAAAATTCATACAAGACTCACATTCCTGATTGCTGTTTAGCGATCCTTGCTGGAATCGTGCATAGAGATACTGTTTGACCCTGTTGAATTACCTGATGATATTCACTGACTGGGCTTGAATTTGGACAGACTTACTAATTTCATTGGATCTGTACCTCAGCAAGAGCCATTGCCTTCAGTGGGAAAAAATTAGAAAAGATTTAAAAAAAAATCTGATCCTGAGATTCCTTCTGAACTACCTCAGCTTGTACTCTGTATTTGGAGTATATTTATATCCTCAGCCGACAAAGAAGGAGATAATTGAATTGACCTATCTTTTGGTATTGCATAAGCTCCATTGTCATTCATTGCCTGTTGAATTTTTTCATTGCAATCTGCACTCCAACCCCCAAACATATGACAGATTTTATTTTCAACCCAGCCTTTAAGATTGCCTCAGAATTTTGAACTAGTCTGTAAATGGTACTATTGAACAATTTTTCTCTTCAGATATTCTGGAAGTACGGCAGAAACCAATCCTGATGTCGTAGCAGAGAGTAGGCACTGCCTTACAAACTAGCAGCCAAGTGCCTAACTGTGACTGGATCCTTGACAACACTTGACACCATCTAGTGTCGAAACGGGACGCAAGAGTTCATCAAAATACCAGCCAATCAAAGTGCCTCCTTCATTCTCACCTTCACAAGAGAACCAATTTTCCAAACACTGAGTTGAATTTTGATATAGAGCTGACAAGGAGCTGCTTCTTACTTGGAAACCAATATGAACACTTCGCAAAAATTTCTGAAGGGCGTTGCTTTGTATCTAACAACATCAGTAGCTGCAAGGATTATTATTATTAAAGGCAGGAACAAAAAAAGGGGGAATTATTCATTGAAGTATTGTATATATTGAACAAAAAAAATCTGAAATTCTTGAAGAAACTTGTTTATTGGGATGTTGTCCCAAAGTTGATCATGTAAAACCTTTCAGCCTGGACCTCATCTCTGTTTTCATCTGTTTTGCACATGTGTGTTTTTTTTAAAAAGGCAAAAGGAGAAAATTACATATGTGGGATTTCTTGGGATTACACAATGCCGTATCAGTTTTTCACGTGGATTTTGGAAATCAAATTAGGGGAAGGGTGCAAGTTATTTTGTCATGTAAAATTGTCTGCTTTTGTCAATATTGGGCTGATCATATTCAGTGCGCTAACCAAAGGGGATGGGGGAGGGAAAGGAGAAGAATTGTTTGTGCTTGTGTTCTGTAGATAAATGGGAAGTGGCTATTGCACTAAAATTCTGTATGTGAGTTTGTCAGATTATTGAAGGGAATTGATGTTTTACTTGAAGGTACTGAGCCTCCGTTTCCCTGGGTCCTTGCCTCATTTGAGATGGGAAGTGTGTTTTGCTCGTCTGGGCAGCCAAAGTCTAACATGTTGTTGGGGTGGACAGCAGTGAGTGTGATTGCTGAATCTGACCACAAGATATTACAGCACCTTGTTGCAGGGCCAATTTTTTGGTGATACACCTGGAGAATAATGAGACCTTTCCTCATTCCTTATTTTTGGGGAAGGACAGGGGTTCATTCTCCCCTGCGCTGATTAATTGTAGTCAATTCTTCTGTAATTGTACAAGCACGACTTGAAGATTCCAATATGCTTATTCATGATCTTTGATGAAATGAAACTTATCCCAAATTGAATGGGACAAGGACTCATTGGAGAAGAGGCACTTGCACCTTTCATTGATTTAACCAATACCTCATTGCCATGTTTCCCCGTTTCTATGTTCTTTTTATAGCCTGGTGTGCATTGCTCGCACAAGTTTCCCATCTTACACGATACCACAATTGACTGGTGTAGTATTTGGAGGGGTGAGGGGGGAGTGAGCAGGTCTGATCTGACCACACACAAGAGCAAAAGACACTAAGTCAGCAAAACCACATCCATCATTAAATTGCAAAAATACAAGTGATTACAATTTAGATCTCTGAAAGGGGATATTTACTATGACTATAATCTAAGCTGAACTGGCTGCTCCATCAAAAGCAACCTACAAGAGCAATGTTTTAACTATTGGTGGGGGTGGGGGGGGCGGTGGAAGGGAGGGAGGGATAAAGATTAATGTTGTTTTCTATTTGTTGGCTAAGTCATCACCTTTGTTTTTCCTTGAGATGGTCATTGGTGAAAATGAGCAGGTGTGATCTCACCAGACAGCTGTTTGTTGGATGGAGCTGCAACTTGTGGCATTTGCTCATTCAACAAAAGAGCTTCCCATGGAATTTAACTTGAGCCACCGTCACATATTGACATGATAGTCCAGTACCTGCCACCTTTGCTGGGCAGAGAACCAATGCAAAATAAATATCACACATTTAGAAACTGAAAGTACTGGTGGCTCGTACTCTCATCACCTTGTGGTGTACGGCTGGATGGTCACTCACATGGCTCAATTGCATATGTTTGCTATTTTGCAGTTTACAACTGTTGATATTAATATTTTGATCCACATAGGTTTTCTGCCAAAACTACCTTCTCAATGACTGGGCTGCTCAAGAACACATTTGCACTTCTCTTGTTTCCCATCAGTTAGGAAATCTGTTCCCTGCTTTGAAAGTGTTAATTTCTTCACAAATTCTTTCTTACAACACTGAGTTTAAGAACAATCCTTTGATCCTCACACTCAACAGGCCAATATGACTGTGCATCTGAATATGGCAGCGGAGGGGTACAATAATCTCCTTGAAACTGAAACAGTCCTCACCATTTGTACCAATTCCCTTTGACAGCAGCTGTGGAGTTCTACTATCACACACCCACGCTCTGTTTATGCCAGAAAACTTCTTTTCCACAATTTGCTTGTTTGTGAACTAGTCGAGGTTCTAGTTTAGTCTAATGCAGTAGTTTAATTTTCAACAAACCAAACTGGGGTGCATTGTGTGCACTTTTCTCTGTTAGAAGCCGGTATCTTGTGACAACCGTCGGCAGTTAATACCTGCAGTGTTTTTAGAAGTCATCCTGCTTCCATGGTTATGGGGCGGAACCCCCTGTTTTTCTTTTGTTTTCTGTTGTTTAACATTCGCCTTGCGTCTCCTAAAGTATCAAACGTTAAAAAAATTAAATTACCAGCGAGCGAGTTAGTGCACTTGAGACTTCCCTGTGGATGGAAGTGGCAGCTTCATGACTATGAAGTGAACAATTTCACTGAGGTGGTACTCAGCCCAATATTTAAGTACTTACACAAAATAAAAAGCAAAATTATATTATTCAGAGCAAAAGACATAAACAAAACCTTTGCTTGAGGAGCATCTGGGGGAGACTTAATTTTAAAAAGTCAATTTGGTTTATTTGTAGGCAGAATAGGGTAAACTACAGCTGATAAAGAGTGAGAATGACTTGCTCTGTTATAGCAACTGTATGAAGATGAAAATGAGGCTTTGCTTCAGCAGCCAAATGTGGTTTGTTTTGTCTTTTTTTTTGCATGATCAAATTTCTGCTGGAGTTTAGACCTGAACAATTTTAAGCTATTGGCTTGAGATTTACGAACTGTTGATGTACTCTTTCTCTTGATACCTCAGACGTTATGCAGAGGATAAGAATCCCAGTCATGCTCTCCCCTATTACCTGAGGTCAGAGGTGCAGCAATTGTTGAACAAAATGTTAAGCTACTTCCAAATCTAGGCCTGACTGCTGTCATTTGAGGACAAACCTGATAAATGTGATCTCTAAATACCAGTGTTAAGTCGACATGTGATTTTTAAAAAAAAATAAATGAGTTGAAATTTCTGTTACAAATGCATTGAAATCTGAGTGGTTGAAACCCTTGCTGTAATTATTTTGCACGACGTGTCTATATTTTGTCAGCCTGGCTCAGTTTGTAGCACTCTCACCCGAGTCAGAAGGTTGTGGGTTCAAGGCCCATGCCATGACTTGGAACCCGCATTAAACTGAGGTCCCATCTATCGTTCTGATGGACATTTAATATATCATTGGCAGTATTGCAAGCGAGAGACCTGAGTTCATTTCCAGGCAGGGCGAAACCTTGGGCAAGTTTCCTTACTCCACACGCCTAATAATAATCCCTCCAAAACCAAAAACAATAATAAATTGATCATTTTCAATCTACGACTGTTTGTGGGATATTGCTGTGCGCAATTGGCTGCCGCGTTCGCCCACAAATATACAGTCAATTCACTTTACAGTGTGTTCTGTGAAGCGCTTTGGGACGTCCTCCTGACGTGAAAAGCGCTATATCAAATGCAAGGATTATATTATTATTGGAAAAGATCAAGAAGATTCTTCAGTGTCTTGTCAATAATCCTGCAAAATAAAATTGGTCACTCACTCCATGGCTGGTTATAAATTGGCTGCAGCGTTCACTCACAAATTACCCATAGCCACATCATTTTACAGTAAATTCTGTGAAGAGCTTTGAGATATTTTGGTAATGTGATAAGGTGCTTTATCAAATGCAAGGATTATTATTGCAAGGAATATTATATTGCAGTTACAATTTACAGACCCACGTGAACAACCTAAATGTTGAAGGTTCATGGGTGCTGCAACTGGGTCAACTGAGAATTGTTCTGATCACTTGTTTTTATTGGAGATGACTCCTCCTTTACACCACTAAACTGATAATCCTGTTTTTATGTTTGTAAACACACATAAAACTGATGGACAATTGACGGGAAAGCTTGCCAGACAGCAATATCAATGGCAAATTATGTGTTTTTAGTGGTTAGACTCCAACAGAACCCCAACAACAAAATTACATTTGTATAGCACCTTTCACGTCGTGCAGACGTCCCAAAGCGCTGGATGGTCAGTGTTTTGGCCAACGCACACTCTGGGGTCCCAAGCCTTGGCTCTTGCAAACCTGCACCTAATACTTTCTGGAATTAGGTAAGCAGGATGTGTCCCTCCAGGGAGAGAGTGCACATTCAATTCCAACAATCTCTCTCTGGAATTTTCACGTGTAGGTGGGATGCATAGAATTCTCAGTTTGGTCTGGATACTCTTAAGCATGGTGATGGGTTTCTGCATGTGTCAGACACCTAACTGACCAAAACAAATGATTGAAGAACACAATCCCAACTGAAACACATTATGTTTCATTTGTATGTGGTCTTGTTCAACGAAAATGGCAAACCCCTTATGAAGGTGACCCGATTGTTTGTGCATTGAATTCCAGAACATTCTCTCCCTCTAAAATACCCCCGTACTTCCCGATGAAGCACTGCCTCAGATATGGAGGATATTGCTTGTTGATCTCATTAATTAAGAGCAGTGTTACCTGATGTGGGCTCTGATCCATTGACAATTCTTCACTCCTATCAAAAATGCTGCACGCTTCCTGTGAAAATAATTCCCTTGTCACAGAGTCCTGGGTTACTGCTCCAAGAATACCTGTTTATAAGAATAATCCTTTAATTTGATTTAGCACCTTATCACGTCTTTGAGATGTCTCAAAACGTTTCACAGAATATTCTGTAAAATGAAGACTGTATATTTTGTGGGCAAAACGTGGCAGCCAATTGTGCACAGTATTGTCCCACAAACAGTTGTGGATTGAGTGACCAAATTATTATTTTAATTTTTTTAACACATTATTACCCCTGCAAAAGCAATCTGCCAATCGACTAACAACCAAGTTCCTACTTACTGCTAGGTAAACAGCGACGCGTGGAGTAAGGAAACTTGCCTAACGTTCCGCCCTGCCCGGGAATCAAACCCAGGTCTTCTCCCTTGCAATGCGAGTTCTCTAACCAATACCCTACAGGACTCTATATACATTGTGAACACGATCGAGAAATGCCATTCAGTACTTCATGACATTTCGGAAGGTTTTGGAAGCTCCTGAGCACTGTTGTTAAAGGTGCGCATGTGAAGCAGATCCTCCACCTTCTGGCGAGTGTTTTAATTATCGGTTTATGTGGTGACACTGTCTGCTGCCACTTTATTTTCAATGTTTCTGTGCCAATAAAACAGGAACCTGCAGCTCTCGGAGGAAACCATGCAGCCTTGGAAATCTTCCCAGGTTTGTTTCTTTGGCTCGGGGAGGAGTTGTGCTAGCTGCTGTTCTGACTTACATGCTTGGTTCATTCAGTGCAATCTTGACCAGGCTGGGAGCTGTGACAAAGCAAGTTTATGCCTGGCTATCCATTGGACTGCAGTGATGAAGATAAGCGCTTAATTTGAACACAAATGGAAACTGAGAGAGAAGCCTGAATAACCTCTGACTCCACTTTTCGTCAATGGGGAGATTTTCCTCTTGTACAGCTGAGCTGCATAGCCCTTTAGATCTGCCCCCACACACAAATATATAAGTGTCCAATCTAATTGCCAACTGCATCCTTTATTAAAATGTCAGTATCGTCATGAAATACTCAAAATCCTATTTGATTTGTTTGCAAACACATAGTCAGCTGATTGAAGCATCCAATCCTGACTGAAACACGTCATGTTTCACTCGTAAGTGGTCTTGTTTAAGAAACAATAACAAGATTTCATTTATAGAGCGCCTTTCACGTCGGGAGGACGTCCAAAGGCGCTGGACAGTTGGGTCAGGACCCGAGCAGGGGGGAAATGGTCTGGGTGAGGGGAGGGAAGGGAGGGAGCGAGGAGGGGGTAGAGAGTTGAGAGGGGAGCTGAAGGCACGGTCAAAGAGAAAGGTCTTGAGACCGGCCTTGAAGGAGGAAAGGGAGGAAGCAAGGCGAAGGCACTGGGGGATGGAGTTCGAGCCTCGGGGCTGAGAGGCTGAAGGCCCGGCCACCGATGGTAGGGCGGTTGGGGCGGGGGATGTGGAGCAGATCGGAGCCAGAGGAACGGAGGGTACGGGCAGGTAGCGGGATAGTAGGTCGGAGAGGTAGGAGGGAGCAAGGCCGTGAATGGCCTTGTAGGTGAGGATGAGGATCTTGAATTCGATCCTCTGGGGGATGGGAAGCCAGTGGAGGCGAGCGAGGGTGGGAGTGATGTGACCTCTTTTCGAGGAAAATTAACCTGTTTAAAAATCCTGGCTTGTAGTTTCTTTGCTGCAGTTTCTTAACGTTTTCTGGCTCCTGGTTTGACATAAATTGTTCCATGGTCTTGAATGTGTATGCTCAATCTATATTCTGCAATCCCGAATACATCGCCGCAGAAAACATAATGTACTTTGGATTGATGGTGTTTGCAATCTGTGTTCCCTCAAGTGAGGACAGAACAGAGGATATTTACAATGAATATTTGCACGAGTTTGAAGTTTGTAAACCAAGCTTTTCTCCATCATTATTTACTTCAGGGAACATTGATTTGTGGATTCCAAGCACGTCAAACGCAGATTTAATTTCTGTCAAGATTACATTGGCAAGAGCAATAAAGCACCAAACTCTCCATTTTGGGGGGTCACAGGCACAAAACTATTGCTATGTTTAAGAGTATCCGACCTGAACTGAGAATCCCATGCATCCCACCTACACATGAAAATTCAAGAGACAGATTGTTGGAATGCGCACACTCTCCCTGGAGGGACACATCCTGCTTACCTATATCCGAAAAGTATTTAGGGCAGGTTGGCAAAAGCCAAAGCTTGGGGACCCCAGAGTTTTCTTTGGAGTACTGCTGGAGTCTAACCAGCTAAAATTGCATAGCTTTCTATTGATAACAATGTCTGGCAAGCTTTCCCACTGCTTGTCCAGCTTTGGCTTGCAGGGTTAAAGGGAACTGACCAGGACCACCTTCCTCCACTTCCGCCACATTGTCCGCCTCCGACCGTACCTTACCCCAAATGTAGCCAAAATTCTTGTGCGTGCATTTATCACCTCCCACCTGGATTACTCAAACACACTCCTCACCGGTCTCCCCAGCTCCACTATTCAAAAGATCCAGCTCATTCAGAACTCTGCTGCCCGCATACTTATCCAGACCAACTCCATGCCCACATCTCACCAGTTCCGGCCAGGCTCCACTGGCTCCCCATCACCGAACAGATCAACTTCAAGATCCTCACATTCGTGTTAAAATCTCTTCGCTCCCGGTACCTCTCCGACCTCCTCACTGCCCAATCCACCACCTGACCCCTCCGCTTGACTGGCACTGGTCTCCTGCTTATACCTCGCGCCTTCTGCTCTACTATTGGAGGTCGCGCATTCAGCCACTAAACCCTGAAACTCTGGAACGCTTTCCCCCAAACCCTACGCCTTGCCCCCTCTCTCCCCTTTTTCAAGTCTCGCCTGAAAACCTGCTTTTTTGACCGTGTTTACGGTCATCTCCCCCCCACTCGGAGTCAGGCTCTGCCACTGTTAAGCGCTCTGAGATGCTACCCTGCGTGAAGGGTGCTATGTAAGTGCAAGTTGTTGTTGTTGTTGAACTGAGTCAGAAGAGTCCCTCTCCCCAGTGAATTCCAAATTCTGCTGATGAGCCAGGCTGGGGGTCTTATCATCAGCAGTGCCCTGGACTTCTGCAGACCTGTCTGGCTCAGGAACCAGACTACCAAGACTGCCACAGATGGCTGGCTCGATTATGACATTCCATTGCCAAACATGTCCCCACTTTAGAACTAATGTTTGGCTTTTCAGCATTGGTAAAAAAAATTCTACCATTAAAATGTCCCCAAACCCAATTCTATCATGCACTATCTGGACATCCAACAATGTTATATTTTAAGTAGAGCGCCTTACCCCCTTCTCTATATCAAACTGGAGCACAAGATTTCCAAAGTGTTGATGATAACCATGTCTGGGAAAAGCAACTGCATCCTGCAAGATACCAATAGTGTTTGCAGCAACATAAATATTCTTTCCGATTGTGC